ATGTATTATTTAATTATATACATATATTCTCTGTGAAGTTAATCGATATAATAAAGCTAAAAAGAGGATTAAAAAAACAACAGAAGACTGCGTATTCGGAGAGTCAGGCTGGGGGCTTTCCCACGCCCTCAACGCAGTCTTCGGTCAATTAGCGAGCCACTCCTAGATAGGGGCAGAGCGCGTTCCGGATGTGTTTGAAGCACTCCTGGCCGCAGGGGTCCGAGTAGCCGTAGCAGGGCCCATCCTCGTCGCAGTTTGCCTTGGTGTCTGAGAAAAAAGGACATGACCCTGCTCCGGACATTCATCGAGGCCTGTCGGATTTGCGTGGATGCCCGCCGTTGGGGACCATGGAAGTGAGTGATGGCCTCGGCTGCTGGCGCGGCATCACCGTTTACGAGTTCGGTATGGATATGGCCATTGCGCGGGGCTTCGGTGGGGATCAGGGGCGTGGTCTCGGTAATGTTGCTGTGCACCTCGGTCATATGTGGTGGGTCAAAGACAGCACTCGGTTGAGGAGATGGCTTGGGAAAAGAATGGCTGTGGTTATGGTGGGCGTGCTCCTCGCCATCAAAATTTTCGTGGGTATGGTCGCAGTCGACAACATGGGAGGGCATGTACTGGTGTAAGACGCGCGAGATGACCTGGATCCCAAAGAAGCCGCCAATGAAGCAGCCCATCATCAAGAAGCCGGCCTTGTGTTCATCCCAGTTGTCCCTGGCGAGGTAGCGCATAGCGGACGGCAGCATGCTGTAGAGGGCAGAGAAGAGCTGCGGTAGGTAGTCAGCAATGTGTTCCATAGGTGGGGAGGGAAGCCTAGTTACTTACCATGACGCCGAAGCTCAAGCTGAGTGACGAGGCAAGGAAGGCATTGCTCTCTTGGATGCGGAAGTGGCGCTTGCTCGGGATGAGGCGGATAGGAATGTCGATGCAGATGACGGATGCGCCAAAGATACACGCGAGGCCGCTAAAGGCGCACATAACCCAGCCTCGCGTGTCGTTGTCCATGGCGTTGGAGTCCATGGTGGTGTTGCTTGGGATGCGCGCTTTTTGCGCTTGGAAATATCGAGGAGTGGGAGTGATGTAATAATTAGTATTTTCTGCCCGCAGCTAAGGAGTCCGAGGTTGATGGTCAAGGGGGGTTGAGCAAGCACACAGTCGTCATCTGGGTCAGATGGGGTTGAGGCTGAAATTACAAAGGAGGGATAAGATCAATGAATGGCTCGAGGGGCAACAAAGGATGGAATTGTTAACTAAGGCAACTAAAGTAATCCGATGAGAACCTCGATGGCCACCCTCATGCAGGTCATGCAGGCAGCTTCCTAGCTGTGTCAACTGCCCAGTGAACGGCTTTCACATTTTGCCCAGTGCCCGGGGTTTCCGCCTGCAAAACGGGCCAACCCTGGCTCTTGCACCTTCCGGTGGCCGCTAAGTTCTAGACCTGCACGACGGAGGGTCGCAGGCTTTCCCGAAACAACTCACCTAGACATAAGACCACCCGGCCGCCAAAAGTTAGGCTTTCTTTTATCTACCCAGATTTTACCACCCATATTACGAGGGTAGAGATCTCGACGTGCCTCTTTGAGTGGCGTTGCCGACCGAGTGCAACCCCCGCGCTGCGACAGGGGTGAAGTCAGCCCTGCAAGCCCACCTCGAGTCAAATGGCAGTGATTGGCAATCCTGCATCCAACAATCAGTACAGATTACTCGGGACAGGCGGTAGTGGCGGTGACCGTGCGACGGCCGCCACGGCCATTGCGAAAGAGAGCAGGGAATGAGCACCTTGATGGCCAGCCAAGCCAGCTCATGGCTCCAGGCCGGCCACGGGGTCAGCATCAGATGGTTTCGAGATGGGAATGCGGGAATGCACTGCATCCTGATCGGACAACATCTAGAGATGCATTTATTTACTTCCATCCATGCAACGATATCTTCCAATGCTAAAACTGGTGCCAAACCAGACGGATTGCCTTGGGCAAGTCAAGTTGCCCTAACAAACTAGCTGTCTGCAAGTTTAGTTAGTTATCTCGACTTGTTACCGAGTTACTGTATGTAACCCGTGCATTCTCAAACCAGTGGCTTCGCGTGGGGTCTTCGTCAGAGCATGCCCCCACAGCCAAGCGCACCGAGCGCAGTGTTTGCCGGGGGCAGGTGGTCGGTCTTGGCCTGCATCAAATTTCCAGTTGTGGGCTGAGACAACGACAACTTGCCGAACCACCACATCACCGCAGCCGGGCGGCCGGTCATAAAAAAAACACTTGTATATACGAATACATGATTGGAAACCACCTCAACATGTCGAAAGCCACCATCGCCGTCATTGCCGCCGTCAGCGCCGGCGCCGGTGCAGCGGCCACGGCGGCCATGTTCTCGATGCGCAAGCCCGAACCAACCACAACTCCACACGCGCCCGACCCCCCTCCGCCTTCCGCCTCCGCCCCCGTCCCGGTCCCTCCCTCCCAGTCTTCGCCTCCTCGACAACCCACTACCTCCTCCTGCCCATAAGGTGCAGCGACTCGCACACTCCCATCGCCAAGGTGAAGACCGCACTACTCTTCGAATACGGCTTCCCCGGCCCCACCGCCGACCTCGCAACCCGACAAGCCCTGATCTCCTCCTACGACCGGCGCACACGCAACCCGCACTGGGTGGCGGAGCACATCACGCCGTCGTCGCTGAGCATCCGCGACGGCGACCGCAAGCACAGCGCCTTCCTGGAGGACCCGGCCATCCCGGACAAGTTCCAGGCCAAGCTCAAGGACTACGCGCGCTCGGGCTACGACCGGGGGCACCAGGTGCCCGCCGCCGACTGCAAGTGGTCGCAGGCCGCGATGAACGACACCTTCTACCTGAGCAACATGTGTCCCCAGGTCGGCGAGGGCTTCAACCGCGACTACTGGGCGCACTTTGAGGATTTTTGTCGGCGGCTGACCCAGCGCTATCCGAGCGTGCGCGTTGTGACGGGTCCGTTGTATCTGCCGAAAAGGGATGTGGAGGACGGGAAGTGGTACGTCAAGTACGAGGTGATTGGGAACCCGCCGAATGTGGCGGTGCCGACGCACTTTTACAAGGTGATTTATGCCGAGGAGCAGACCGCGCCGGGGGGGAAGGTGGCGCTGGGGGCGTTTGTGCTGCCGAATGCCGTGATCCCCAACGCGAAGCCGCTGAGCGACTTTGAGGTGCCGCTGGAGGCGGTGGAGAGGGCGAGTGGCCTGGAGTTTGCGAGCAAGCTGCCGGCGGCGAGGAGGAAGCGGTTGTGTGCCGAGACGAGTTGCTCTGTGGTGGTGAAGGAGTATGCGGAGCTGCAGAAGGCGTTTGCGAAGAAGTAGGCGGGCTGTGTGTGTGTGTGTGTGTGTGTGTGTGTCGTCCGGGGCATGTAATGCCCGCCATCTACCAACATCTGGTATGGTCATACGGAGCCGGGATACGTGCCATATCAGTGAATCATACAATAATAGCAAAACAAGCAGCCAACACCGACTAATTGCATGGCTGGACATCCATAAGTTCTTATTCAGTACTTCGCTGTGCCAGCCCATTGCTTGGAAACCCATCTCATATATAACCAACCAAGAACAACATGATCTTCTCAGCTGGATTTCCACTTCCAATCCTCTCATCCCAAACTGTCTCTGATTTGCGGATATCGCGAGTGAATACACAACAGACCCCCTGGCATCCGGGGCACACCATCTCTAAAGCCCATCTCACTTGACCTTCCGTACTCCTCCCCGCTTGTTAATTCCCCCGTTGGCTACAAAAACGGGCTCCCCCTTACCAACAACACATTCGTTACTACCGCCTGTTTCTGATGTTGCGTCTCCCTCCAACGTCTCATCTCATGCATTCCCTCTTTCCTCAATTCTTCTTTTTACATTTTCTCCTCTTGGCTCCCTTCCAGCCAGGGAGTGATACATCACCCCCCCTCCTACCAACGGTCTCATCGCTATCATCATCGCCCCCTTGCAGGGATTGCGCAACGCTCCTACCACCATTATCCCGCTTTCCACCATCACCACCACCATCCCTCCCCCGATTCTATCTCACCCTCGTATACTTCCCCTTACTCTGCTCCATCCTCAAGCTCTCCTCCTGGCTCGGCAACGGCGCCCGCCGCCTCCCGCCAGGCCCATCCTCACCCTGATCACCGCCATACTGTCCCTGATCATATTGGTCCCCGTACTGCTCTCCACCACCACCCCCACCACCAATACCAGGGGGACCACCACCACCACTACCAGAACCACCCCCAGCCGCAGCAGCAGCGGCAACCAAATGCGGCGGCGGCGGCGGGAACCCATGCGGGAGCATCATTCCCGGCGGGGGGATCAAGCCGGGCGGGAGCATGCCCGGCGGCGGGGGCGGCACAACGCCATGTTTCTTCATCATCTCCGCGATGGCAGCGAAGTCGGGCGGGTTCTTGGGGTCGACGCCCGGCATGCCGGGGAGGGGCAGGGGCGGCGGCGGCGGGTGGGCTCCGCTGCCTGCTGGCAGGGGCAGCGGGAAGGGGGCGTGGGTGGGGGGCGGGGGCGGGCCTCCTCCTCCTCCTCCAGACATGCCTGGGATGAGGGAGGGCGGAGGGGGCGGGACGAGGCCTGGGAGGCCGGGCAGGCCGGGGATGCCGAGCCCTGGGAGGCCCGGGGGTTGTTGGCGGAGGGGCATCTTTTGGTCGACGAGGCCGTCCATTTCGTCTTCGAGTTCTTGTTCTTCTTCGGCTTGGCGCATGTGCCGGTGGCCGCGGCGGTCCCAGGTGCCTTGGGCCTCGGCGGCGGCCTCGCCGATGTGGTAGCGGTCGTTGAAGTTGTCGGCCTCGCCGGGGCGGGCGCGCGCCCAGAAACGTGTTATGCGGTCGTTGGAGCCCGACGCGAGAATGTGGCCCAGGGGGTGCCAGTCGAGTGACCAGATGGCGAAGTCGTGGGCGTGGGGGACGCGGTGGGCGGGGTAGATGGTCTGGGCTGGGGTGGAGGCTGGGTCGGCGGTGTCGTAAGGCGCGATGGAGAGGGAGTGGCCCGGGGGAGTGTTGGGCTCGTCGAGGAGGTAGTGGAAGAGAGAGCCTTCGGAGCCGCCGGTGCTGAGTAAATTGGGGTGGATTGGGTGCCATGTTAGGGTCGAGATGTCCTTCTCGTGGCCGCGGAGGAGGCAGATGTCGCGCATCATGCGGAGGTCGAACACACGGGCGGTTTGATCTCGCGCGGATGTGGCTAGACATTGCCCGCGGACTTTCTCGAAAACGGTCTTGGTGATGGTGTTTTTATGACCGTGGAGGGTTGTCAGGCACCGGCCCGTCCGCGGATCCCAGAGCTTGACTAGATGGTCTTTGGAGCCCGAGACGATCAGTCCCTTTGTGGGATGCCAGTCGCAGCTCTTTGCGTCCCAGCCATGGCCCGTGAGTGTCGATTCAGCTGCGCCAGCGGCAAAGTCAAATATTTTAAGTGTTGAGTCATCGGACGCTGTGACAAACTTGACATCGGTGGGGCTGAAGGCTAGGTCTCGAACAGGGTCTGTGTGGCCGCGGATGCTCTCGACGTTGTTGAAGTTGGGCTGCCAGTACTTGATAATCCCGTCGTGGTCTGCAGATACTAGCCAGTCGTCGCTGTGGGAATAGGCCAGGGCACGGATGGCCGAGTCATGCGCCTGCATGATGGTCTCAAAGTTGAAGCCGGTGCCGTTCCAGAGGGTGAACTCTCCGCTGCTGGACGCCGTCAACAGTCTCCTGCCTTCCGGCGTCCACCGTACCACGTTGATCGGATGTTTGATCTTATTAAGCGATGAGTGCAGGTGACGCGTAGGTACCGAATCAGCCGGACTTGTTGTCCTTGCATGAGGAGGCAGCATCTATATCTGGCGTAAGTAAACGTCTTCGCTGGGAGATGAGGGTACTCACATCTACTATGTAACTGTTACTTGGTCTCTCGACCTCGCCAGTTAATGACCCTTTGTAGCGCGGTTGGCGATTCCGCATCCAGCCGACAACGGTAGCGCCATAGTCGGTGACAGGGCCTTCCGGAGATAACGTCAGTCTTTCCTTGCTTTTATCTCGGCAGCCGCGCAGCCAGCCTGGAGAAGAAGTAGAGCCCATTTTGGGCTGGGGCATGCCAGAACCAGCAGGTCTCGGCGGTGATGATGTGGATTTGGGAGAGGGATGGTTCGATTGTGAGGACAAGTCAACCAACCCCGGTTGCTAAGTGATGAAGGCAAGTGGTGAGAGGGGTAATTGGCCTTCAAACACATGCTTCTTGAATAGAGATGACGCTCACTCCGCGGCTTCTTGCAGAACACAGCCATAAGTGATAACAAATAAAGGAAATGGTGAACTCACGCCTGCCCCGGGCCCTCGGCGGTGGCCCATCGTGTCCTCCACCACCACCAAACCCAAAACCCTTGTCGCCATGATCCCGTCCTTCGTAGGCCATGATGAAGCAGCAGATGGACCGGCACTTCAAGCCTAGACCAGAAGTGGGTAGTTGGTGCTCTCACTCTATGGCATGGATCCCTGTCGCAAGCACGCCCAGACTGATTTTAATGATGACTGCTATCCTGTGGATGATGCTATTAAATGGATCTTGGCGGAGATATAGTCCGTTGCATGAGATGGGACGTGATGTTGTTGTTGGTTGTTACGGTAGCGAGCAGCTTCCTCGATCGCGAACCCGCTCTTTGTTGGGATTGGTCTGGCCAGTCAAACATGAATTTCCAAGCCCAGCTCCCATTCAGCAGAGACACAGATGTGGTCCGTGCATAACAAACCCAAGTTGCAACTAGGAGCAAGGGTGCGTGACTCGGGCCATGCAGCGTTCTCTTGAAACCTTCTTTGTTCGCTGTGCCATTGATTGTTTGACAGTCCTTTTCGGGCAATTTGATTTTTTTTCCCTGCCTAGGCGATCATTGCTCGTCATTTATCCCTGTAATCTCTGGAACTAGGTAGCCTTTTTTTCACCTTTTCTTTTGCATCTACGAATGGATATCCGAGATCCAGACCAAAAAAAATGGAATGAGCTATCCCTGTCTTGTCGCTCACGAATCCGACATGTGCTTCGCCAAGGCCTGGATTCGTCTCCCGCCAGTGGTGGCGCCCAGGAACGTCCAAACTTTAGGGATCTGCATTCCCCCTCTCGAGAGAGGTGTGCCCGGAAACATTCAGAGCGCTTGCAGTAAAAATGATCTTTCCAATTTTTTACACACCCTACTTTACAACCTGTTCTTAAGACTGGAACTTGCGAGAGTAATATCATGCCGCAAATGGTGACGAATCTTTTTTCATCTCGGCCGGTCCGAGTGGGGTGCCCCTCGGCGCCGCGGCTCAGTGTTGCATCCGGCGTATCTCCCTTCACCAACGGCCTTTAGGGCCTGTTATCTCTCGCCACCATCAGTTTGTTCCTTCTCAAATGTAAAGCGTAAACATTGGATGAGAAAAGAATCATACGTCTTTTAAAATATATCTCTCGTGATTCCTGACTCGTGCTGTCAGGCCAAGATGAAGGCAGAAACGGGCACAACGATGGCAACGTCGACTAGTCTCGAGACTTCCCAAGTCAATGGCGTCACCAACCGGGCCCCTGTTGGCCCTAGTCACGACCCCCACGCTACAACTCCGACTCATGAGACGACAACCACCATACCGTCCGACGTCCTCGCCAATGGTTCTACAAATGGGACTACGAATGGGACGACAGATGATTCATTGGACATATCCGAATTGCGCAAAGCGTTCCGCAACAAGTATCGCCATGTCGAGGCTGTCCACTCCGAATCGAAACCATCCTGTCTGAGCCATGACGCTACAGAGACACCCAGTTTCATCGGTTTTAGGAATCTCATGGTGATTGTGTTGGGTATGTTATTAAAGATGGCCTTGCTGATGTGATAAGGTTGAACTGCCTCTATTAACGCCAACCGGCCACCAGTTGCTGCCAATCTTCGCCTGGTCATCGAGAACATTCAAAAGGTTAGCATGTTCTCCCTTCATTCCTCATCTGATAAGACGGCAAGATGGCCGACGAGATAGATAGAACGCAGCTGACCGTCTATTACAGTATGGAGTTCTGATCTGCATCAAATGCCACGACTTTCGCCCCAACGATGTACGCCTGGGGCTCCTCCTCTACATCCTGATCCCATGGCACCTCATGCTCGCCTACCTCATTGAGCTGGTCGCCGCCGCCAATGCCCGCAACTCCCGGGCCAAGGCGAAGAAGCGGGACGGCAGTACCAGCCCGACCGAAGACGAGTCCAAGCAATTCCTGCAGACCTGGCGGATGCTCCGCATTCTCCACGCCGTCAACGTCACGGCCGCCCTGGCCGTCACCTCCTACGTGGTCTACTACTACATTCACCACCCGCTGATCGGCACGCTCTCGGAGCTGCACGCCATCATCGTGTGGCTCAAGACGGCGTCGTACGCGCTCACCAACCGCGACCTGCGCCACGCCTACCTACACCCGGTGCGCGGCGAGCGCGACGCTCTGCCCGAGATCTACGCCCAGTGCCCCTACCCGGCCAACGTGACCTTCTCCAACTTGACCTACTTCTGGTGGGCGCCCACCCTGGTGTACCAGCCGGCGTACCCGCGCACTCAGCGCATCCGCTGGGTCTTTGTGGCTAAGCGCCTCGGCGAGGTCGTCTGCTTGAGCGCCTTCATCTGGTTCGCCAGCGCCCAGTACGCTACCCCCGTGCTGCGAAACTCGCTCGACAAGATCGCTACCCTGGATTACATGTCCATTGTCGAGCGTCTGTTGAAGCTGTCGACCATCTCGCTGGTCATCTGGCTGGCGGGCTTCTTTGCGCTGTTTCAGAGTTTCCTGAATGCCTTGGCCGAGGTGATGCGGTTTGGAGACCGCGAGTTCTACGAAGCATGGTGTATGTCTCTCTCTCCTCCCCCCCTCCCCTTCCCTTCCTTCCCCCCCACACACACAAGCACCCCATACCTAACCTCCCACCCCCCCAAACCAGGGAACAGCGAAAGCCTCGGCGCCTACTGGCGCACCTGGAACAAACCCGTGTACCAATTCTTCCGGCGGCACGTCTACTCGCCGATGCGGTCGCGCGGGTGGAGCCACTTGTCGGCCAGCCTCGCCGTGTTTCTGCTCTCGGCCGTGCTACACGAGCTGCTGGTGGGGGTGCCGACGCACAACATCATCGGCGTCGCCTTCCTGGGCATGTTCCTGCAGCTGCCGCTCATCGCCATGACGGCGCGCCTGGGCGGCCGCCGCGGGAACACCGCCCACGGCCGCCTGCTCGGCAACACTATCTTTTGGGTGTCATTTACCATTTTTGGCCAGCCGTTTGCCGCGCTGATGTATTTTTATGCATGGCAGGCCAAGTATGGTAGTGTGAGCAAGATGCCGCTGGCGCAGCCGGGGACGTGTCCGGCTGTGGTTGTTTGATGCGTTTTCGTGAGGGGTAGTTCCTATTGATGTGCTGTCGGTTTGGGATGGGTTACTGTGTAATAAAAAGTGGTTTTTCTTAGCGGGCGGGTTCGGTATGAAAGCGAAAGGCGGCGTCATTTCAGAGGGAAGTCGATGTGGTTTAGCTATTAAGAACAGCGAATGACAATCCCCTAGCGTATACGAGGGACTTGATATATTAATATAATACAACCCAACCTATCCTCCCAGAGTATTTCATATCCCTTCTATACCGCACCTATGCCCATCCCAACTTTCCCTGCTTTGATACCCGTTTCCTCTACTAATACAACGCCCCTACGGCACGAAGGGGATCCTCGTGCGGACCCTCCTCCTATAATCCACGTACTCCCCCCCAAAGAACGCCACCAGATACGCCTCCTCGTGCCGGATACGCCTGCTAAAGAAGCGCCACAGCACCGCCGCATACCCGACAAAGCTGAACACATTCCCCATGACCATCTGCGTCCCGAGCGCCCACCAGAAAAACCCAAAATAACTCGGATGCCTCAGCACGCCATACACCCCGGTCGTCACCAGAACATGATCCTCGCGCCGCCGGTTCTGCACCAGATGATTGAAGCTCCTCCCCGCATGGATCATGGCCACGCTGCGCACCGCCTGGCCCACGGCCACCAGCACCAACCCCACGGCCACCACGACCGTGCCGAGCCGAGGACCCAGCGGCGTCCAGCTCGCGCCGGGCCAGAGCGCGTGCACGAACAGGCATTCGAGGGCGGCGACGGTGTGGGCGATGGCGTAGGCGGGCCAGTTGGAGGTGAGCAGAAAGGAGGCGATCTCGGCGGCGCGCGTGTTGTAGGCGGCCGTGGTCCAGAACTCGAGGAAGTGGAAGAGGGAGAGCGCGCCGAGGAAGAAGGGGAGGCGCCAGAGCGGTGAGGTCGTCGCGAGGAGGATGCCCAGCGTGCCAATCAGCCCGGTGGTGAGAGTGATGCCGAGGGCGAAGGACCGCGCCGCGATGCCGGCGAGGGACTTGTGTTTGTGTGGGAGGTAGGGGACGATCGGGTCTTCTTCGGCTTCGGCTTCGGTTTCTTCTTGGTCGTCTTCAGGCTCGCTGTAGGAGGGCAGAGAGGAGCTGTTTAAGGGGTTCTTTTTGTCAGCGTCGATGAGCTCTTCTTCGTTTTCGGTGTCTGTATTGATGGTGGGCATGGTGCGGTCGAGGTCGAGGGAACCACGGCTGGGCGGGCTGACATTGGTCGAAGCAGAGGTGGAGGAGTGGCGACGACGATGAAGCTCGGAAGTCGTTGTGGTAGAGTTGCAGTGTGTAGCCCAGGGCGGGGACTGTTCGTCGATGCTCCCCTGCTCGATGGCTGATGTAGCGGTTTTCGACATGATAGCCATGTAGTAATGAGAGATGCAGAGGGTCCATGAGGAATGTTGAAAAGGGGGTTTCCGACTGCAAGACGAGTATTTGCGCTTACCTTTCGGGCGACCAGGGCCGTCGAGGAGACGCGCCGTTCATTGTCAAAACGGCCCCTGATACAGTGTGTGGACGGGACGGAATCGATGACATCAAGAAGGGTTCTGTAGTTGTTGCCGACTTGTTTCGGCAGTCGAGCACGACAAAGACTCGCCCGCCTCTTTTTCTATATCATGCCGATTATCCGCCGTAACAATTGTGTCTAAGTATTGTGAGGAATGTAGCTGGGATTGCCAAACCGGTTTGTTCTTTCGGGCTGCAGGGGCGTCGGCGACCTCCTCAAGCAAGTACTCGGGAGTTTGTTGTTTGCTCAATGCAATGCTGCTGCGCGGCCAGTCGCGCGCAACTTTTAGTGGATGCAGCACCCAAGACCCACGTGGCGGGGCAAGGGTTTGTACTGTTAATAACCTGATGCAAGCGTAATAACGCGGGAATACCGGAGTCGCGCGATCTGTGTCTGCCGTAAGAGTGTCCCCTGCTTCGGCGATTGACAGCCTTGGATGAACCAATCCCGTCATAACATCGGCTTCTCCATTTCCCCGGGGAATGAAAGAAGTCCAGCATGTTGCCGATGTCATGCGACGGCTGCGCTGCCCTTACAGACCACCTTGAATCCTAAAGGAGGAAACGATAAGCACCAGCACGTTGACCCAACCCCAAATAAAGGGGATCCACGTCGACATCAAGTAGCCCCCGACGAGGTAGCTAGCGCCGACTCTATTGCAGGTTAGCATAAACGGGCTCGGAGCGGGTTGGTAGAGACGAAGGATAAAAAGGACACGAACATCAAGCCCACAAGAGTCCCCGCGATTAGGGCCTCAGCGCCTGCAATAAAGGCGTAGATCAGAGGCACCAGCCAGAGGTACTTCCAGCTAGACATGCGCTTGCCGCCCTGCATCAACACGGCCACGCCGACAGCGCCCAGATGGAAGAGGCCGTAGAGGATAATGGTCCAGAAGAGGGTGAACTTCCACATCTCGTCCAGCTCGTAAAGGATAACAGTCGCTGCCTGGGGCGGCCAGAAGAGCGATGGGAAGGGGGGCACCGTGTAATTGGCGGCGGGCGTGTCGCGCCGGACCCGGCTAGAAGTATCGTCAGCAATTGGAACTTGATTGCAGAGATATGCGATAGCACATACGAAGGGATGTCCATAGTCGCTGCAACAGGTGCGGTCCCGGGCGGCCTTGTTGTATGTACTGCTATACACTCTACTGCCCCTACGGAGTAGGTATGAAGTACTGCGTAATAATTCAATGTTCGGGGCCGAGTTAGCAGACGCCAAGCGACCGGCGCGTCAAGACGCATGTGTTAAAGCCAAGAACAGTCTTGGCTGAACCTGGTTACCTAACGCAAAGTCCGGGTAACTAACTAACTACCTGCCGCGCATCATCCAGAGCTACCTCGGCTCCCCATATGCCGAGTCTCAGTAGTTCTGTTAGTGGTTCCCTTCAGCTGCTTCCCCCCAAGAACCGACAACGACAACAAACACAAACACGCCGACATTCGGTCCCGATTCAATGACATAAAGCGATACAGACAGCACTGCCACCCACCAACCATGTCGATTGATCGCCTTCTCACGACGGTGCTACAGCTCTACCAGGACGTGCACGATGATGCCCGCACCGAGCAGATCTTCGGGTCGACCGCCCTCCTCCTCACGAACCTCTCGAACCCGCTGAACCTCTCTTTGCTCACATCCCAACTCCTTATTGCCCCCGCAATATGGGGTCGCCGTGATGGCATGCGCACATGCTTTCGCATTATCAGCATCTTCAACACGGCCGCCATCCACGTGCGCCGCAACGAGCTCGAGAAGATCAAGAAGCCGAGACAGCAGCAACAACAACAACAACTGCACCAACCACATCACACTGGCGGCGAGCTGAGTAGCAATGCCTGGACAGCAGCGATTCTCAAAGGTGCCGACGACCAGTCGGGGCGGTGGCAACACCTGCTCGTCTTCAGCGGCGTGTTGATGGGCATGGAGGGCAACCAGCGACATTCTCTCAGCAGCGGCATGCGCAACACAGTCGAGCGAGCCGTCGTCACAGCCACGAACCTTGCCATACAAAGCAGGGGAGCCCGAACCACCGGCTCCATCCGGACCCGTGGCTCTGGCCCTCAACTACGCCTTTCCGCTGCTCTCCGACTCGGCGCGCGCCGGCCTCAACTGCGATGCGCTCGTCCCCGTCGCAACACGGGCGATGCTTGGCGGTGATGGCCTACAAGACGGCGTGTTCCTCGCATCCATCGATCAGGACATACGACAGGCGGAGCAGAAGTTCATGTGGACCGAGAACTCGCCCTCCTATCTGCACCTACAGCAGCTCGAACAGCGGCCCCTCATCTCCGGCCTAGGACCGCTCTCCACGCTGCTGGCCCATGCCGTACAGTTCGCGCGCGATCCCGACGTGGTGCTGCAGTTGCAGGACGACTTGATGGCATTCACCGCGAGGCTACTGCAGCACTGGCAGGCCGGCAAACTCTCCGAACTCGAAATCTCAGAAGAGAGCATCTTCCTCACCCCTGAGACACTCGAGACCACTTGGCCCACCCTCTGGCAGTTTCTCAAAAAGACCATGTACGCCGTCGTGGCCGTCCTCCAGTCCATCGTCACCCGCAGCCTCCTCGACCGTCATCTCAAGCACCACGCCGTCGCCCCCACCGTTGCCACCAAAACCCTCCATACCCTCCGCAATCTCTACTTCATCTCGTCCCGCAACGGCAGCGACGCCTTCCAAGTTTACGCCTTCACCTACCTCACCTCGCTCGACACCCTCTCCCGCTACGGCCCCGCCTCGTCCGCCTTCCTCCACTCCATCCTACCCCCCCAATCCAACATCCCCCCGGACCCCCTCCACCGCACCGTCGAACTCTTCTACCTCCACACTGTCGAACACGTCGTCACCGTCGTCTGCGCTTAGGACTCCTGAGCCCTGAGAATTGAACCGCCCAGCGGGCAAGCTAGAAGACGTGGGACCAGGAACAACAACAAGGAGAATTTGCTGTCTTGGTGCTAGCATGTAGTGCGCTATATCGCCTAGAAGCGGCTGCCAAGGCATAGCGTGTGGTGCCTCTAAAGTAAGAAGCAAGGGGCGGCGTAGATGGGCGGCGACTTGAGTATATACCATGGATAGAGTAGTTGCCGCCATTCCCCGTCTGGGTTTTAGAACCTAGGAGTTTCTTGGGGGTCAACAAAACCTTCTTAGGCTGACTGGGTGAAACAAATCATCGGATTCTTGATCA